ACAGGGATCCGGAGCCGGGGCACAAGCTAGAAGGAAACAGACTCAGACCGCGCAGCAAAAGGATTCCTCGGAACCCTCGACGCCAACCGCTTCTAGACAGGTAGGTGAGACTCTTGGTCAGAGATTTATTTTCTTTTTCGTGTATTTTGACGCGTTCGCACGTTGCTAGCTTTACATTTACCCAAATCTAAGGATTTGGCGATGATTTAAAAGGTAAAACGCACGACCGGATGTGATATTAACGATGGTCGGAGACGACGCGACTCGAGTTATTCCTCTAATCTCGTCGGTCTGCGATTCGACGAAATTTTAACGCACAGTCGCCGCGTCGATGCGATCCGAAAGATCGATGCACCTTGGTCGGACGTGTGATCGTTCGTTCGTGTCTAATCAAATACTTCGGTTCAGGTGTCAGCAATGTAGGTTAAATTTAATCAACCGCCCTCTCAAGCCGGCAAACTACTACCAGCAACGAGCAAAGATCCGTGGCAATCGTAGAAACCTAATTCCGATCAGTGGCCACTACACGGACGACGATTTCACGGCGGAACAGAGTATCGCAGACGGCGTACATCAACTCTGTGGATTTTCCCAACGAGAAAACATCGACCAACTGAGCGAGGATCGAACGTTGGCGCTTCTCGCTAAGAATCCCGAATCCTTATAAAAAGAATGCCGATGGAAATCGTAAATCTTGTTTCGTCTGGTCGACGTATAGATGCGCAGTTCGATGACGAATCGGGGACACGATACGTAGCGTTATCGCGCTCGATTAAAGCTTGTTGCTCGCGTTCGAGGACACACTCGACATAAAACGCTCAGCCACGGAAGCGGCTTCGCGACGTCGCTTCTTTTTCCTCCGATACGAGCATCGTCGAGAGCTGGACGGTGTTGTTCCGTTGCAAATTACACGCTTGTAACCCGTTCCACGAACGATACAGAGACTCCGCGAATCGCTATCGACGAGTGGCTACCTGAAACATGGCCAGTCCGGACACTCGTGACGATATTTCAATGGAAAGTACACGCCCCGAGCTGGATGCACACGGACACACGGAGAGTACGGGGCAGTCCGGACTGAAGCACACGCGGGATAGTTTCGCGACCCGGTGGAATTACGGAGGAAACGAGGGGGCCATGCACGGAACGACCCGCATAAACTTACACCTACGCTATCCTCGTGGCCGGCACGCAAACTCGCTATCTTATTGCACGCCAAGGCGGATCCTCGCGACGTACCATAAATTTCCTGCGAGCCGCAGCCAACTCTGTTCGATATCCTGTGCTCATTGTGCTCGTTCCGGCCGAACCTTTCTCCGTCGCACCCGAATTCCTCGATGGATCGTTACGCTGGATGCTTGTGTCTATCGTTGTATTCTACTTTTTTTTTTCAAGAGAGCCGAAAGAGCGATAGAGAAATGTACGGAGATCCCTGCGACGCGTTGATTCGATCGACGCGGTTGGGGACAGGAACGGGTCTATCTGTAATTTAGAAGATAAGTAACATTAACAAGTGTGTAAGATATACTCAATTTAGAAAAGCCGCGCGTTAAGCTACAGAAATAAAAAAAGGAAAGTTTAATAAATTAAAACACGGCTCACTTAAAGGCGCGTTACGGTTGGTTGTCATAGACGTTTGGTCGAAGGACGGCAAGTTTTACGACTGCACTCGGGAAAATTTCGAAATTCTCAGCTGAAAGTTTACCGCCGTGGAACGTAAAGCGGCTTGCTATCTTTTAGACAGACTTTTACAACGTCTTGGACGGAACGACACGTGAAGTCGGTACGCGTACAACGGGAATATAACGTTGCATACGAACTCGACTCGGTTTCGATCCCGTGAATGTAAATGTACATCCGCAACGGTAGTGTCTTCCCTCGAAAAGTGAAATACGCGAACTGTACAAGACAAAATGCTTTTTACGTGTCGGCAGAAATTTACCTGGCAAATGGACAGTTTATCGAACGAGATTATTCGTAGTTTTGCATAATCCATTCCCATTTTTTGCTTTCATTCTTCGTAATGTTTTAAAAAATATTTTGAAATTGCCGAGGGGGAAAGATATTTTGCTGTGTCGTTAAATCCCTCTGATGAAGATTCTTAGCTGCAACGGCTACCAGTATGTTGGAATCAATTTCTAAGCGAACTATGCTCGTACTGAAATCCTCTAAAATCAATGGGACCAGTGGAAATCCCGAAAAAAACACACGAATCACCTTCTCACCTCGTAGCTTCTCAGCACGGACAAAAGGAAATTTGTGGTCTCTGCGTGTCCCGATCGATAGCCGGGCCTCGATCTTGAACTTTAATTATACGTTTTACGTTTCGACTGCGTGGCTCGTTGTCGTCAAATAATTTCAATTATCAACGCGCCACGTGTGTCAGGTAACGTTGTGGCCAGTTGGTTTCATTGCAATTTGCGTGGGAACCCGATACAGCCAACCCTCGCTGCATCAACGTTATTACTTGATACTATTTAGAAGAGAAGGATTTCTCATTTCGTGTAATGTTTCTGTATGAATCATCAATGATTAATTGTTCATTAACGATGCAATCTGGAAGATTTGGACTAATTATTGCAGATTGCTATACGACTATGAAATATCGGCTTTCGCGAACATTTTATAGATACAAACAATTAAATTAGTTCGTAATCGTAAGAAGCTAAATTGCCTGAAATTCAAAGATATTCGATGATGATTAAAGCTGCGTAGTATAACACGCGTAGCAATCCACAACTTGTTTCTATTTACTCAGCTTACTCGACTATCCTGAATATCGGAGAAAAGCGTTCGCTCCGTTGAAAATGTCGTGCCGTTGTCGAAAATGTCGGCTTTGGTTAGTAGCGTTTCGCTTGTCGCCATAAATCACGGTGAGGTTATCAGACGAATGGCTGGCAAACGGGGCAACAAGGAAAGAAATCGCGTTAACCTACATCGTGAGACGACATCGGCAACTTTAACATTCACTTGTTACTCGAGGGTGCTGTTAAAAATGCAATCGACTCGAGCTTAACGTGGAAACACGAATAAACACGAGGTCGTGTTGCTCACTATTGCTATTTACGATCGGTACAGAACGAGTATGACAACGGTGATGCTGCCTCGGCATTACCAGCAATAGCACGATTAACGACTTCGAAAAGCGGCAGGATTATTACGTTTGCTTCATTGGATGTTTGATCTGATCGTGAGAAAGATGAAAGTGGAAAAAGACGGAATGCAGCTATTGCTCTGTTCGACGTTAAGAATATCAAACCTTTCAGCAGCGATTTTTTCTGGGGGGTAAATTTTGTTTTATCGTTTAGTAACAACGAAGACACGCCTTTTCCTCGAACGATAACTCGCTTACACAGTGGCTGTATGTAGAAAATGCTCAAGCTTTGAAACAAGAAGCCGTATTTTAAATGCGACAACTCGTATACATAGTTGGAGGTAACTTTTGATACGAGGCAGGCCAATTCGTTGGGATGTACGTGCACGAGTCTGTGTCTGGTCACCAGAGTTAATTATCCCGAATTGTATGGCGTTTGTAGGTTTCCTTTAGCGGTAACCGAGCTTCCGGCGCGTACACGCCCCTGGTGGTTTCCGGAAACAGTCCTCCGCGTGGCGAACCAATCTCCCTGGCCACCTTGGACCGCGACTGTTTCATCATTCCCCTCGCTTCTCTCGAACGTTTTTTACCAGCGGGAGTACCGGTACGTCATATTAATTTCTACGTAATTAATAAATGCACCAGACAACCTTCCTTTGCACGAATGTTTGACTTTTTATGCAATGCGCCTGTAGATTCGCTCGCTTAGGCTTGAGATCGTATGGGATTCGTTTATTAATACCACGACGGCGTAGCACTATTTTATTGCTTGCGAAGATACTAACAGAATTTTCTTAAAATCGTCTACAATTCTCTTGCGTCGTTTCTTTTATGTCGTTGTTACCTCGAGATTATCCAAACCTGTTTTAACATGCACTTGCGTTTCACAATAGCGTCTTTCGTAACAGGGAGCTATGCAAACATCTCGCACTGCGTCTGTTTAACATCAACAGCTTGTAACAACGCAGTAACCGACCGACCGAAGCTTGGTAAAAAGTACATGGTACTTCACATCGATCGTTGGTTCCTGGGCAAACAAAATCTGCAGTTGGATCGTGAAATAATCCTATCGCGGTATCAACGATCGTATCAAGGTCGAGTGAATACTTTTAAGTCACTCGAACGATGCGCACGAAACTACACTAATCGGGAATGCACTCGTTAAAACCAGAATACTCGAGTTATTGGCCTTAGTGTCTCGGGGAGTAGTTACGACCTTGCTGGCACGGTCTCAAACGAGTAAAAATAGACAAAAACTTACCCGGTGGGGCGGAGTACAACAAATGTCTGATGAACGACGCATCGCTTTAACGTAAATGACGCGGGTAACGCATTAAAAATACAGATTTATGCGTTGCTCTTTGCTCGCTAAGTTTCGAACGGTTGTTTCACTTCTCCCTTTTTCTTTTTTTACTATTATCGCACGTTAACAGTAAAAACAAATAAAACCAGGAAATTAAACGAAGCAGATAATTAACCCTTATTCTCGATCACAGATTTATTCTGACTCGTTTCAGCACGCACCAATCGCAGACAAAAAAAAGCCAGGAAGCCCTCTGTCGGTTCTCGAAGTCGAGGACCCGAAGCAATGTGTTCTAGCTCATTTCATGACACCTCTGGAGCCACTGGATCCTGTGGTCGAATCTCCAGTTTCTCAGCCCTTGGTGCTGCAACGGGATACCGCGGCCGAATTGGTCGCTGAAATTGCACCCTCAGCTTCCCAGAGTATTCTGCTTACGAATATGGAAAAAAATGGTACGTAATTTGACGATTGATCAGTTAAATTTCGAGGAATTCGTGATTATAGTCAAGTATAATTCTTGATCGATTTCAGCGGATTTTCCGTTCATCACGTACTACTTGATAAATAAGCAGAATACGGATCCAGTAGATTTCTACAACGAGGTCCAATGCGCTGCATTGAGAAAGTTCGATCCTCGAGATCTTCGATATGCTGCCAGTCATACGTTGGATCTGTTTAACGAGGTAGCTACCATAGCGAGACCGCCCCTGGAACCACCTGGTGTCAGACCACCGATTCCGTCCACTGGCTACATTGTCTCGATTTTTAAGGTGTTCGAGGGCGACGACGGTCTCAAGTTTGAGCAGAACTGGCTCTACTGGACCGGTACTCTGTTCATATTTCTTACAATTCTATTACATTTGAACGGTCATGGTCAGTTGATGACGTTGTTTTTCACGGTATCTATATTCTAGGTGCCCGTATGATGTACCGATATTTGCCGAAATCGGTGGGTCTGAGACGAATCACACTGCACAAGTCCATGTCGCAAGGTGACAAGATGTACCTCCTGATCTGCGAATGTTCACAACTGCAAGACAATCTCTCCGCGGCGGCGATATTATTGCCAGCGCTACGCGCCCGTTTATGCGGCTACACTGGTCTCTACAGACCCTCGGTGTGCTTCTGATTCCTCAGGAAACGCTGACCACGCGCCGATAAAGTCACAACAGTACAGCAGAACAGGATTACTCTGTAAAGTTGTTCGTTTCCGAAGGGTGGATTAAATGAAAGGCTGGCCTGTGTCGATTCGTTCACGTTGCATTCGCGCTACGACTAGAGTTTGCGATGTAACGTGGTTTGTAATGATCGTCGGCTCACTAAATGCAATATTCTTTAGTCGATAAGGGTTTCTTGATCTCGAGTATGACCAGAGGATTGATTTGATCAGCGAAAGACATAGAAACGTAAAGGTTTATGGTTACACGGTAACCATGCGTATAACGAGGGAGATTTTCAGGGCTCGTTTCGTTCAGTCGTAATAGCAGCCTTTGCGATATTGGTAGTCCGCTTTCTGTACGATACACTTTGATCGTTTCATGAATTTTCCCGGTTTTATAAAGTCACTTATTTTCTTATATCGCACCATCTACCATCGTGGTGTAACGAGTTCCGCGTGACTGTAACGCGCTACTCGCCACTTTACTGGAGCCATACTGCCGACGTTATTACGAATCTCGCAATTTTACGAAACGAGCCCTTCCTTTACCAGAGTTCAATGGCCAGCCAACTGGGAGAGAATCGCAAGATCTATTTGTCTCCTGATCTCTGGTCGCAACGAAATGGTAAAAAATATCGTTAGAGGGAGGCACGTTCGTATACGCTTTAGAGAAATCTCGATGATAAATCTGTACGCTTCGGGCTGCACACCCGTCTAGCTACGCCTCTGGCCAGTTTGTATTTTTCGACTTTACATATTTCATCCACCGTTTTATGCGAGCGTTCGCAACGCTCGATAACGAGCGCAACTTGCATGTACATAACATAGAGATTTGCGAGATACTTTTATTACTATATCGACGACTATCGATTAAATCGCTAACTACATATCATATACATGTATACTCGAAAAACTGTGATATTCGAACGATTACCGCATATATCACAACGAACGCAATAAGGTGTCGCGAATCCTTCTTGATAAAAAAGATACTCTTTGAAAATGCTACACACTCTTTTTCGAGGTCAGTTAGAGAAGAAGAATCAAATCTTGACGTGGTAGAAGCTCTTCTGGTCGAGGGCATTTTGTAAACATAATCTCCATATATCTTTTACTAATTGCATTCACACCTTTGATATTACATATCCTTGCCTGGATTATCGATACTCGCGGGTTTTGATTGCAGCTGACAGGATTCACGAATGAATTATGACTTCGAAGCTGAAACACCGAAATCGATCGATAAGATCGTCGTTTAACTTTTGAATTTGTATTTTATTCGTCTTATTAACGATGAAAGGGTAGAGATCTCCCGCGTCCTTTTTTCGTTGGGAGAAATAAGTAGATCGATCGAAAGACACGGAAAAAGCTTATATCAGATCTTTCTTAGGTGCCCGTAGAAATTTTAGGATGAGGACGAGTAGCGTGATTCGGCATTGTAGTACAAAAGATGAGAAAACAAAAGATAAAAACGTATAGTCAATATACGCTTGTTGCATACAGACAATAGCTAGGACGATTGCGCAGGCGCGATCTATTAACGTAGATTTTTAAGGATTCGACGGCGTATGACTTATTAAAATACGTCTCTTCGTACTCGCTGAAACAAAAATGTGGAACAAGATGCCCTTTAAATATAAGACGAACGAACAAACGAGAAATAAAAAAACTCGCGATTTTACTGTGATCTCCACGTGTATCGCGATTGAAACGATACACTCGTAAAAATACATGTACGATTGAACGCGGCTTAAAGACCGCGTGTGACTGCGTGTCTCGATTATGTGAGGTGTGATTGGTTTTGTCTCATTAAAGAGAAACGCCGTTAAATAAAGATTCTTTGTCTGCACAAGTTTGTTTACGAGAATACTTTTGCTCCCACGTGGGAGTAATGCCTCTTCAGGGTAACTTTCCGATCGTATCAGAAAATCGAGTTCTATCCGTGGATCCGATCACCAGAGTCTGACAGTTTCGTCGGACAAAGGTGAGATTGTACGATACATTGATACTTTGCGATTATGATAGGATTTACTATATCGTGTACAACGAATAATAAGGGAATACTAATAAATCACTTCTAATATTACATCTTACTGACTGTGTAACATAGCATTCGTTTCTTTTCTTTGTTTTAAATTTACTATTTTTATTTTAAATATTAGTCGCCTTTAGGTCCTCTGAACCTTCGTCTGCCATCAATCTGGAAAGAAAGAAACAATTTAACTAGTTATTTGTTTATTCTATTTATTTAACCCTTTGTGGGTACATTTTAAATCTTTCTGAAAAAAGAACATAGAGAACATATGCTCATTTTATAAAAGTCTATTTTTTCTTTGTATCATACTCTAATATGTATTTCTTATAAGGTACAACTAGTTGAAGCAACATTGGGATACATCATGTTGGATGTATTTTATTAAATTAACATACGCAGCTATATATAAATAGAAAGTACATGGTATATAACACGCGTAATCTTGTTTAATGAAAAAAATAATTTCCGTCGAGTGTGAAAAGGTATACTTACAATTGAATGTTTGCAATCGAAAAATGTTTGTCGCAATAAGTAACATTCTTCAGGGACAGACGGATCTCTGCTTACAAGACAGTCTTTGGGAGTTCGTCTTTGCTATAATATAATAAAATAAACATATTATACATAAATTTGCATTTTATTTTGTACCATAAATGAAGGTTAATATAGCCGTAAGTGCACAGTTTGATAACTCACTATTTTACAACAATCCGTTTCCAACAAACACATTTTTAAACTTGCACGTATGTTAGCACATTTGGATTTGTCTTTTAAAGTTTCGCCTTCTTCTAGGTATTTAATCATCCTGTAAGCCACATAACACGGAGTAATTTCATGTGAATTCGCTGTATGTTACTACAGAATTCATAACAGAAACCCTAACCTCTCTTTATGGTATGTGCGTGTACATATAATGTATAGACATATGCATGACTTGTGCAAGGAGTTACATCTCACGTACGATCGACACAAGATTTAAATAGCAATCCTGTTTTGAAATGTCGTTCAGATTTGAATGATACGTATAACGAGCAATAAAAAATAATAAAGAAAATTTGAGAAAAAGAAAGAAGCGTGAGGCTGTGAGGTAATAAACAATTTTGGTAATCGTAGATTATCGTTTGACAGAGCACATATGATATATTATATATTGGAAGATGATTCAAATAATGTTTCCCTCGGAAATTCTTTTCTGTTACATTTTGTCTTTATGTATTCACATTTGTGTATATGGCAAAGCAATTTCTTTCAGACAAATGGTTTATCAACGTGGAAATCAAAGGGATGGTTCCCCACATTATGTTTTTTTGTATTCGGATGATGAAAATAGTGGAGACGAAGAAAATATTCCTTTACAACAACGTAACAAACCTACATCATTACCACGTAAAGTGGAAGTTATAAATGTTCCACTTAAATCAGAAGATACATTACAAGCATTGGCATTACGGTATAGATGCACGGTAAAGACACAAAAAAAGATCAAAATCAAGAATAAATTGCAATGAACTCAAATGGGAAGTTCTATTTTTAGATCTCTGAATTGAAGAGAATCAACAAGATTCACAAAGAGAATGAAATACATGCAAGACGGTTTATAAAAGTACCTATACAACCATTTTCTTTATTGACCGAGACTTTAGAACAACACCAGAGTGGCCAGGCAGATAGAAGCAAAGTAAGTATGTCCAGTTCTGGTGAAGAGATGGAAAATACAGTAACAAAAGGTCCATTATTAAATGTGATAAAAAATCCTGTTGTAATCGAATTGCCAAAGGCAGAAATTAATACAATTATATTAAATTCAGTTTGTGAACCTCTGTCATCATTCAATAGTGGTAACTCTTTAGAAATTAGCAATTCAGAATGTGACCAATTACTTACCTCAGCAGAGAGTAACACAAAAAACTCTCATTTAACAGAAACATTTAGATGTTCTGGTGATGATTGTGGATTATCCTGGACACAACTTCTTGGTTTTTCTTTATTGTTAGGTTTTGCAGGACCTATTATATACATACTTTATATAGCTGAATTTTCATCCAAAACTCATTCAGTTACTAATCATTAGTTAGATTTCTAACAGACAAGTGGCTGTTATTATAAGTATAATTTATTGTACTAGCAACATTTACAGCAATAATTGTAGTTATAACTTGCAATAACAATCAATCATAGGTGACTATGTTATTTTACGTAAGTGAGATTGCATTAAGAAGTAAAGCGTGTCATTACATGGCTAACAAAAATATTTCACAAGAAAGTAGTAAGAAGATATTCCTTTATGATATTTAAAGTGTATAAATGAGATTTTTTAATTATATGATATACAAATAAGAAAAATGAAGAAATAATATTAAATAGCACAATATATAGTGCCTTTGTGATTATCTGTTTAATACAATATTGTGGTAATAATCGTGAATTTTTTCCGATATTGTATTAAACGTGCGTATAAAAATACGAATCGCCAAAGTTATTTGTAATGATCTTGTACAAAAGTGTTAATGGATACATATGTACCCTTTTTAAGTTCTGTTAATGTTTTGACGATTCATGTAATATGAAAACATTTGACATTGTATCAATGCTGTTAAAAAAAAAGATGTTGATATTATGAGACAATTGTGATGCATTCGTATATTGTATATTGATAATTATAATTAAGTATATAATGTAAAGAATTCTGTTCTCTTGCGACAATAAGCATGTTATTAAGCAGCTTTGAAATTATGTAAAAATTGTTTTGATAAAATCTTTCTCGTTGAAATTTATAAAAATATATTTTTTAACATGTATTTACGTCTTACTTTATAACGTTTCAAACGTGTTAATTGCAAATTTGTAACACTAAAATAATATTTTGCGTAAATTAAGAAGTCTTGTATAGAAATGTTTTTATTTATTAATTTGTAACATTATAAGATACAAATGAAGATGGTAATTTCTCTTCCCTCTTCTGTTCCTGTCAATGTCAACCTCCCCTGTAAGGTATAAAATAAGTGTAAAATATCGGGCTTTGTTTTAAAAGTATGTCAAAGTTGTATTTTAAAGATCTTCAGAAGACGATGTAATGTCGTTCAATTTAATAAATTCAGAAGACCGTCGTTAGTTTCATCACTCTACATTTTTGATTTTTTTTGCCATTAACGTATAAAAAATTTTTTAACACCATCACTAACCATAGCTTATGAATTTTATAATCTTAGAATTTCTTGAAACTTTTCTTAGATCCTGTTCCTTTAGAGACCTTCAGAACATTAAACCTGACTGTCTTACTGAGAGGTCTGCATTCTCCAATCGTTACGACATCACCAATTTCAACATCTCTGTAATAAACAATGACAATATATATATATATATATATATATATATATAAAAGAGATCTTTATATATGATAAATACAACATCTATTTTTTCTTCAGAAGACGAATAAGCTGCTTCAATTTATAATTCAGAAGACCGTCGTCTATATCATCATATGTTTTTTACAACTTCTTTAAAATAACGAAGAGATATACTAGAAACTAACCTGAAACAAGGGCTCAGATGAACACTCATATTACGATGACGTTTTTCAAAGCGGTTATATTTTCGGATATAATGAAGGTAATCCCTACGTATGACAATAGTCCTTTGCATTTTCATCTTTTGTACTACACCAGTGAGAATGCGTCCTCTAATAGAAATGTTACCAGTAAATGGACATTTTTTGTCAATGTAAGTTCCTTCCAGAGCCTGAAAAATGATATTAAAAAAAAAAATTATAACGCATTCGTTAAATATTATTAGTTTCTATTATTTTTTCGGTTAAATTGGATAGTTACTTCACGTGGTGTTTTGAAGCCAAGACCTACATTGCGGCTATACCGCATTGGCTTCCTCCTTTTTGGGCCCAGACCTTTCTTACGGTTAAGAAAGATCGTGGGTTGCTTCTGAAACGCACGTTCACTCTAAAAGCAAAAATACAATTCATTATTACACACGTATGCATATGACAAAGTATCCTGAATACTCAGTGCATTCGAATGGTCTAACCACGTGCAGCGGTTATGCTATCAACTCTTTTGTAATATTTTTAAGAAGTCAACTTTTTGCTCCGATTATTAACTACGACGATAAAATTGATTGTGTAACAATTATGGTTAATAAATAACGAAGGTGAATGTAAAAAAGATACATATTGTTATTATTAATATCGCACACGTACCTGATCAGCCATCTTGTTATACTGAAAGAGCGATCGAATCCGGAAGGGTGACCAACGTCATTTTCTATAGTTGAATTTCCAGTTGTACCAACATTGGGAAATAATATGTCATTTGAACGATCTACGTCCTACTTGGTCCTACGGACTTGAATTTTGGTTTTTATACGTAAGTAGTACGACGTATTTCTTTATTTTAATCAATTTCAACTATGTCACCTTAATTACTTGAATATGTATTTATTATAATTAGTGTGTATAATGTTTTGAAAATCTAGATTTGGTGTAATTACAGCTGTATAACATTATATTCGTTGCTGTAACTATAAAATTACTATGTAGTATTCAAATATTTTGTATATTTTAGATACATTTCTTTTCAAACTACAACTAGTCAAATATATTCAATATATTTCATAATTTCTATCAATACAATATAATTTTTGGTACATGAAATTAAATTCAGTTGATAGCTCGGACGCGACGATCAATCGATCGATCGAACTAAAGATAGAAATCGAAACCGTTACAAATTGCAACTTGTTGCAGATCACAGTGGTCAGCCGTGAAGATTGGTTTCGTTTTTTTTGCGGTTGTGCGTAGGTCGTGGATAATTCAATTTGTTCGAGTTGACGCGCAAAGAGACATGTCGTTCTATACCACATTCCTGTGTTTACAACGCAATTGCGGTGAGTGAATTTTTTTGTTTATTCGTACAGCATTGAAACGGATTGATACTTTGTAAGCTGTAAATGTTACTGCTGCACTACGGATGTGCAACAAGGTATAGAATGTATTCAATATGCCAAAATATACAGAATATCGAGAGTAAAGTACACGTTATAACATTAAGTAGGTGAAACAAGCTTTTATTCCATTTCGATATAGAATTTTGATAAAAACCGCAGATTAATCATGGCATTCCGTAACACAAATTTTCTAAATTTTTACAATTTATTACATTACAAATATCGTTTACATTTGTTGGTTTCTTTTTTGTAAATATTTTACGCGCCAAATTCGATTTACTCGGTGCTGTTTAGACTCTTTGTCGTCAGATGTCAGCATCACGCCGGTTAAAAAGGAAATGAACGAAATCGATACTACGTATTAAAACCTTAAAACGAATGACAAATTTTTGGCGAACGAGAAGAACATTTGCAATTTTATTAACATTTTCGTTTAACGAATGCATATTTATCGAATCTGAAGTAATCTATTTCTTCGATCACTCCTTTCCCCCCACCCCACCCAACGATACAACATTCCTCGAGCTCTGTAGCATAATAATAATTTATACGATTCTATAAGAAAATCAACCATAACCTTGAAATCAATCACCTTAATGATCTTGAGTAAAATCTCACGAACTTTATATTTTGTTAGGTCAAAGCGAACGATCGTCTTACTTATCGTTGGATACAAGGGCATGCTTGAATAACACAGATACCAAACATTACGTTTTCTGTTACTTTCTTAACAGTACGATCGGAAAAAGTAGTCGTTTCGTAAGTGGAAATCGGAATCGCGAGCTACCACTGTCGCGTCACACGTCATTGCCATTGTGGGAATCGATCGAAACAATCACAATGTCATTGCTTAAAGCCTCCGCATATTGTCACGCTTTCGTTGATCGGCTACGGCTACACCTTAGTTACCATTCTATGATCAGCGCGGTGAACGGCAAACCGCGATCCAACTAATTTTCCATTCTCGTTTCTATTTCATTGTTGCATTTCATACAAATTGCCGCAACTCGTTTAACGATGCTTATACGATACAAAATAATAGCTGTTTCGATTGCTACGACTCGTATTACGGTTTCGCTTTAGATTTATTACTTAGAATCCTATATCCGGAGTCGATTCTCAAAGACCATGAAAACCGGTCGTATCTTAAATTCAAATTCAACTTGAAACTCGAATTTCAGATTAAAATTTCAAATTCAAATGTAGGTATTGCGAACGTTCGCGAGCTTCAGATCGAAATTCGAATTTCAAACGAAACAACTGGCGTAATTCTGTTCGCATCTGCCATAGAAGCTTGCGTATTCGAACACGTGGGAGGACAGGACATTTCTGATAAGCGAATGCTTTTTATAACAAAAGCTTACTAGCTATCCTTACCATTTACTATCCAATACTTGCATCCAACAAAGAAGACATATTTTTCAACGCATCGTTTCATCCTTCTTACAAGTAGATCGTATCATACTTATACTCGTAATGGTTGAAATCGACCCAATTGAAATCTATTTATCTTTATTAACATGCCGCGATAGTACAATTTTCCGGCCAACGAACGATCCTATTAATAGGCTAATTGGTTCACGTAAACGGAGTGCGGACAAACGAACCCTACGAATATTTCTACCGTACCGGTTTCTCAACACCGAAAACCTGCACTCTACGACACACGTGTGACCGCGTGTAATTGGCAATCTTACATTCTCCGCTCCAAGCATCTAGCCACGTTCGTTTCAATTTTCCTGAACGACTATCCTCCGCGTAACTCGTCATGTTGCTTTCTCCTCGACAGGGAGTCGAGGCGCGACTACATTCTCCGAAGCGTTTTCATTAGTTCTGTCTCGGCCAAATGCAAATCGCGTTGATCATTCGTCCGGCAACAAAGGGCCGTTAGCGATTTTTTATCCCCTTTTGTATACTGTTTTTTCTTTTTTTTCTTTCGTTGATTCACGAGGTTCATAGACCAACGATGAGACGTCGTTGCGAGTTTTCAACGACATTTCGATTTTAACCGCGGATAATTTCTTCGTACAAGCTGAAAATGTAGAAAGAACAGCGTCTAAAAAAAGATATCACGCTCAACTATTCGACTTTTTTTTCCAACTTTTACGTAACATGAAGGAGGATTGGAAGGTGCTTAATCGAAGATAGAACGTGACGGATATTCATGGTACGGCTAACAAATTGATTATCCTTGAACCGTGGCCCGCATCCAGACAGTCGTAGAATGTGTTATTAAGCGGAAGAATCTTAGAAACTTCCGCGCTTAACGAATATAACAGACGTATTACACGATGCCGTGTTTCGACGTACGCTCGTTATTTACCATTGCTATTCAATCGAACGATGATCAATCTATCCGACGAAGCACACGGCTTTTCGAAAGGCATAGCCGAGCCATGCGTTGGCAAATTATCGAACCTTGAAATTAGTCGATGGTCGTTTGAAACGTGTTCGATGAAAAAACCTCGCCGTCTTTCTTTTCTTATTTTTGCCCTTTTTCTTTTTCTTGCGCGACAACCGCGTTAATCCTGTTTTCTACGAACGAATGGTTCGTGGTTACTTTCTTGCAAGACACGAAATCGTTGGTAACGGGGCAAGGAATCGAATCAGTTCGCTGTTTCAGGGACGTGCA